CAATGGGGCCCAAGACCAGTCCTCGTATGAGAGAAGTTATGAGCTGCCTCATTAGACATGTCCATGATTTTGCGCGCGAAGTGGAACTTACCGTGGATGAATGGATGCAAGGAGTGGAGCTTCTCAATGAGGCCGGGAGGATGAGCGACAACAAGAGAAATGAGGGACAACTAGTTTGCGATGTCATAGGGTTGGAATCGTATGTTCTTCTTTTTCTGGATGCAAATTCGTACCCCTAATCTTCAAAACTACAGGCTCGTGGACGAAATAACATTCAAGAAAGCTGCCGATGCTGTCGACGCACCCACCGCGAGTGCGATTCTTGGACCATTCTTCCGACACGATGCTCCACTGCTAGAGAACGAATCTTCGATAATTCAGACACCAGTCGATGATGGTGAGATTGTATACATGCATGGAATAGTCACAGATCATAAGACCAAGAAGCCTATAGTTGGCGCTACAGTGGATGCATGGGAGGCGTCTACAAATGGATTATATGAACAACAGGATGACAACCAAGAGGAACACAACTTGAGAGGAAAGTTTAAGACTGACGAGAACGGGCATTACGGGTTTTATTGCTTGAAGCCCACTCCTTATCCTGTTCCTTTTGATGGTAGGTCATATACCATTGCGAAGAAAACCAAGCTAAATATCTCCAGGTCCTGGTGGAAAAATCCTGCAACTATTAGACAGACATCCATTCCGACCTGCACATATTCATCTGATCGTAAGTTCTATCTTTAGTCACAAACTTTTGGCCCATAACTCGGAATAACATCCAATCTCCAGGTCCAACACGATCATTACAAACCCCTCACAACCCAAATTTTCGACTCGAAAGACGAATATCTCAAGAATGACTCAGTTTTTGCCGTTAAAGATTCACTTGTCGTCGATTTTGTACCTTTGAAAGATAACCCCAAAGCATCGCTGGAACTCAATTATCCTGTTATTCTTGCTCCCCAAACCGGGGCATAGAAAGTCGTTCAGTTCATTATTGGAGTGTGTGAGGAGTATCCTGGATTTTAGATGTTGAGAAACATCTTGCAACCAAACATTTGACGAGCTTGGATTATGATTTATTTCGAAATGCTTATGAACATTATTTTATCAATCCATTAAGATCTTTCCACTTGGGATTTCTTCCTCGCACCACCTGTAAAATTGGTGGATTTGTATGACACAAGGCTTGAATAGAGAGAGCTCAAATGAATATCCAAAAATTCTTTCGCCTAATATAAAAACTTCAATCAATACGGTCGCATGACAGAATTAACAAATCGAAATGAACAAAACATACCCAGCTCAAGCATGGTAGATTCACTATGATATGAAATGGGAGAAGTGCGCGCAAAACCCCCATGAAATGGTGACTTCATTTTTGATGTTTTTTTTGGTGCGTGGGGGTGAGAGAAGGGTTGCGAGGGTTTTCCAACTCAAGTCAAGTAGTAGATCTCTCTTTAACTTGTGCAAGGTCACTTGGAACCTCATCTCATGAGAGGCGGTTTGATGACAGTATTGGAGAAAGTTCTCCTGTTTCTACATCAAACCAACATGTTTGTCTAGTTGTCAATTGCAGGTGATGTCATCATACTTTTTTTTTCTCTCGTCGACTTGGCCAAGAGATGCCTATAAAAGACAAGAACCGCTACTATCTTTCTTACATATGTTATCACTCGATCCTATCTTGCAAAATCCTATAAATCATATATGCCATACTAATAAGGCTTTCATTCACCATCGAAGGTCGTTTCAAGATGAGTTGCTACAGCAATGACTCTCTGCTGCCTAGATCACGAGGATTCACTTTTCTCTAGATCTTCGTTTCATAGACTTTTGCCCTAATGATCGTATGATATCATTGGGCCATAGATAATAGAGCAATCTCCTTTACGCTACCGTCGCTCTCGGTTTGATTCACAGTCTTTTTCATCCCTTAGGCAGCCAACTTTCTCGATTCTCGACTATTTCGACATCTCCAACCATGTGACTTAGACCGTACCAAAACTGGCCGTACTGACATGGCAATCTTTTATTTAAACGTTTTCATTATGGCCTCCATCTTTCTGCAACCTCGTTCATATACGATACTTTCCTCTTATTTAAACAACTCCCTCCGTAAATCGCCACCGCAGACTTGACAACCTCGATCTATTTCCAATCCTACGCATTTCATACCATATACACACCTTCAAAGAATTTCTTACACGCAACGTTCCAATAAGAGCATTATGACTTGTTTCAAAATTACCCGGTCTTCGCATGACGATCAATTACCCCTCGCTGTTGGCGTCAAGAGCGACACTCTCCAGCTTTTAGACAGCAGAGAGAGTAAGAATAATCTCCATAATCACACGCATTCGAGATACTAATATGTAATAGAGACATGGTGGATTGCAAATTTTGTAATCTGCGAGGACGGTGGTAGTAGTCCAGCCAGATCAAGTATGTGGTTGATGTCTATTAAATCGCTGGAGACTAGGTCAACTGACATCCTGATAGGAGAAGAGCTGTATGAGGAATACCTCGAGTGCTTTCGTGATAGGATCAACATGTTCAGTAAGCAGATAGTGTTATACCTGGCAATTGACGGAAATCTGACAAAAGTAGACATCAACACAGTTGCCGACAATGAAAAGACAACATGGGCCCACTATCTGGAACTAATCTGGCTCCACGGTGCTTGTCAGACTGTTCGCCAGTATCGACCCGAGCTGGAACCGATGTTTGATTCTCGTGAAAATAAAGATTATCCTCGGTTTGATCCCGAAAACGATTCGGTCGATGCGACTAGCATGTTTCGACCACGCACACTGGCCTTTGGAGAACAGGCATTTCTCACGGCTAAGTATCCATGGACTGTCCTCATTGCACCAGCTGAGGATATCTACAACATGGCCGGCTTCTCTCCTGCTTTTCCTCTACGAGAAATATACAGTCCAAGCCATCAGTGGCATGGCTTGCCTCCTCACAATGTTCACAGCAATCGGAGTAGTATTTATGATACTGAGCAACAACAGTTATATATGACTTCTCCATCCTATTCGACTCCAGAAATTTCACCAACAGGAGTCTCCAATAGAGTCTATCCAGCCCCGGAAGGGAGCAAACATGCCAGAACCGCATCTAGCGGTAGTGCAGACACCGGGATGCAAAATCCCCATCGACCACCGGTAGAGAATTACCCTCTACAAGGACAAGCCGCCCGCGGCCCAACCCAAGAAATCAACCCCAGCATTCCCGCGGCGCCCAAATCTCAGATCCCCGAACACCTGAACTGTGCCGTGCAGCTACAGATCAAGCAGATCGCCCCGGACCAAGACGTCTTCAACACGATCCACACCGGAGCCATCTACTCATACAGCCGGGTGGCCATCTCGAATCGCCTATCCGTCGTGGATCTCGTCTTCATGACGCGCGACGGCGCGCAGAAATACATCCACATGACGCGCAACCGCGAGGACATGCTCATCCTCAACAAGCGCGTGCTGGCCATCTGGAGCAAAAATCGCGTCGCGCCGTGCACACGCCCCGGCGTCTCCAGGGTGCTCAAACTCACCGGTCCGCTGGCTGGGTGTGGAGTGCTCGGGTTCCGCCAGTATGCACGGCGTTGCGGCGCGGGAGATGTCTTGAGTCATCGCGAATGCATCGTCGGTTCCTCGCGCGAAATGGTGCTGGAATTTTCTGGGTTTCGTGGATTGGCTGAGCTCGTTTTTGAAAATGTCGTGGTGGATCCGATGTGGAAGGCTTATCGCATTGAATATTTGCGCGATCCTTGTGATGTGCCGGAGGAAATTTGATCGGCGTTGAGGATGTTTGGAAATGGGAAGGTGGGGATCCTCGGCGCGGTTTTGTTGGGAGTGAGGGGGAATCGAAAAGATTGTTTGGTTCGTGGTATAGATATTTTGGGATTGGGATTGATGGTTTAAATCTGGATTATTTGGGTGTTATGGTGGATGAGAGGGAAAGGTGCAATATATATATATATATATATATATATATATCTACCCTCATAAAATGTTAGACAGACTTTACTTTCCATATACGTAATCTTACGATAAATTTCTTAAGAACATGAAGATGTGTATTATTTTAGTTTCCCTTGAAATCTTTGAACTCATCGATCCTATGGTTTTCTAACTATTTATACGCAATATATTATAATCCATCGTATAAAGTCTAGGAAATTCAAACAACTAGTGACCACCCGACATCACCGCACTCGTCATATTCCTCACTATATATACCTACCTACCAAAAGAAAAACTCCCCGTAACATTTAAGCAATCCCCAATCAAACCCCCTCTTCCCACCACTCCACAAAGATCTCAGCATCATCTTTTTGCCAGCTGTGAAAGCTCCAACCCTTACATTTCCCTATAATCTTCATAATCTTCACGAAAGAAAAATCGTAGAAGAAAGCCTAAGATATTCACATCAAAAAATACCTACCTAATCTAGAGATTTCCTGATCCGGGCATTCATTCGATATTCAGGATCATTGTTTACCTAATTAAAGTTCTTGAGGAAATATAACATCCGTATAATATGATCTTCTAGATATCGATTTCTGGATGGTTTGGTGGGGGGTTGTGTTATAATATCTAGCCCATAGAACTAAAACTTCACAGCCCCGGAATAATACATACCAACTTAAACTTAAACTTAAACTTAACATCTTTATCCTCACCCTCTCATCCTCGTCCGAAAAATAAATACCCCTCCTCTCTTCCTTCCTTCCTTCCATCCAACCAACCATTCCCCAAATCCCCCCGCCAAAATCCAATTATCCAATTATCCAATCCCATCCCCATCCCATCCCATCCCCACCCCTCTCGCTTAACCAAAAAACTCAGCCAGCAAAATTTCTCAAGCTCCACTTATTCTCATTTCACCTCTCACATTTCTCATTTCACCTATTACCCAGACAGCTCTCTACCTAGCAATATATACCTAACAAACAACCCCTCCTTTTATGAAATACAATCAAAACATCCGGCATGGTGTAGTGGCTAGCATTTCCGCCTCTCATTCAAGTATTCCTCTAAGGATTGCGAAAAAAGGTCGCGGGAGACCGGGGTTCAATTCCCCGTACCGGAATTTCTTTTTTTTTTTTTTGATGTTTGAAGGGTTTTTGATAGACTTTTTTAATAGTTTTTTTTATAATATTTAGAGTTTGGGGTTTGGAGTTTGGAGTTTATGGTTTAGAATTTGGGGTTTATAGTTATTATTTATTATCTTTCTCAACTTTATAGGTTCATCTCAGAATGATGAGCATATATATATGGTAATAAGGTGACCAGCAATAATAGGTATAAATCTTCTGTAGTATTAATAGTGTAAAGCTAAGAGGGTGCGGGTGGGAGCGAACTGATATAGACGCCCGCCGCGCGCTAGCGGGTGCATATAAGGATCGCGTACTTCGTACCCTTAACAGAATATGCTTTTTACAATACCATTCTTGCTACTTACTATTAATCAATAGTGACTTTCATCAAGTAATCGAACCAACAATATAATTATTTAAGACTAATAAATAAATATTCCGCAGTGATATCTCCCTACGATATTTACATTTTTCATCCTCTCTCCCCATCTATCTATCTACCTCTCTACCTTCCATTCATGAATAGCAAACCTTTCAATTAAGTCATGCCCTTTTTTTCCCTTCCTTCTCCTGCAAGATCAGTTTAGCTTAGTATGAAAATCGAATTGGATTGGAATTGGAATTACTAGTAAAGCAATTCAGAAACGGAAATTTCTCCTCGCTATACGTTTTGAGTCTGAGGCTTTTTTTATCATGGGGATAAACTATGTAGGCGGATATGAAGTGATGCTGGTCTGGTCTGGTCTGGTTATGAGCTGGAGCTGGAGCCGAATTGGAAGGCGAGTTGTTGTTGGATTGGATTGAATGTAGGTAGATTTGAATGCATTGAGTATGGAATTATAGAACTGCAGAATTATAGCCTCTCTTCGATTCTTAAATCTTGAATAAATAATCCCTTAGATAGGTATATATAGCTGCGTGGTATTGTCGATCCCTTCAAATACCTTTCCCTTTCGAGCCAGCCTCTTTGCTCCTGCTATCTTCCTTCTTCTATCTCTTCTGTCTCTTCAACCCCCTACCCCCAACATAATCTCCAAGATGGAGAGAAAACTTGAATATTCATAGGTCTGGGTTTATATGGTGTGCATGTTCATATAGCATGGCTATTTATTTGGTCCTTATATCTCATTATAATATATATATAACTATATATATATACGAAACCTCATCTTCTTCAGAGATACTCAAAAAATCTCAAAAGCCAAGTCCGATGCCAGATATCTTTAACTTTAAACTTTAAAGAACTTGCTATCCGCAAATTATATAAATAACTCTAAGGATGGGTTCGGATTTGTACGTGGCCTCTTATGAAATCATAGATTTGAGCAACAGCTCTATTATAGATTCCTAGTCTTTCCAAGTTCCTAAATTAACCTGCAAACTTGCTTGGAACATATAGAGAGA